ATATATATATATATATATATATATATATATATATATATGTATATATATATATATATATATATATATATATATATATATATATATATGTATATATATATATATATATATACATATATATATATATATATATATATATATATAATATATATATATATATATATATATGTATATATATATATATATATATATATATATATATATATATATATATATGTATATATATATGTATATATATATATATATATATATATATATATATATATATATACATCTATCTATCTATCTATCTATCTATCTATAGAGATACAGATAGATGGATAAATAGATAGATAGATAGATAGAGAGAGAGAGAGAAAGAGAGATGTATGCAAAGATCTAGAATATCTACAAAGACATGCGATGCCTTACATTTTTTTTTAATATATTGTTTTACACATTTACAGATCGGATAATACATGCTGATACCTGTATCATTGCTCTGTGCCATATTTCTTTCAAACGGATCCTCTCTAAAAAAATAACAATTACAACTTTAATCATGGACTACAAGAGATGTCATTTCCTACTGTGATCGTTCATGAAATTAAATGCTATCCTTTCCCTCGCTTTTAATTGACTTTGAACTCACACCCTTCAAATGGTGTACTTGAAATGTTTTGATTATTACATTTTCATATTACCTCATCAACTAATTGCTTCTGCAGGCTTTTTAAGAGTCGTTAAATAAAATGGAAGGCACTGAAACGATATGATATTATTCAGACGTGAATGTAGACAATATGGAATAATGCAGAGTTTGCAGACTTGGATAAGCATAGTATTTAATGATATTCAAATTTCTATTTCAGTGCAACATGATTTTTTCTTTATCTCATTCGAACACAGTATACACCGGAGTTTATTTTTTTAAACTTCAAAGCGGACATATGATATATATAATAGCATAACGCACAATTTTTTTCCTCACACATCGTAATCTACGAAATAAAAACAACAACAACAGGGCTTCCTATTTACCATAATCTCGTATTCGTGTGATGATGAAACGCCATACTGGATACTTGTGAAGTGTTATATCATCTCTGCAGGGACGTGATCTAGTATTGTGTTTTGTGTTTTCCATTTTTATTTTTTAATTCCTATCTGTCCTGTCTTCTTTTTTTTGTTATATTTTCTGTATGTCTCTCTCTCTCTCTCCAACCAAAAGACATTTAAAACAAAAGTGAAAGAACATCTACTGAAATATCAATGACATCAGGCTTTTGAGCATCAAGCCAAGTACGAAATTTCAGTCATCTGTGATATTAATGTTCTGTTTAATTTTGTTAAACAAGCACTGTATAATATCTATGTATATTACATTCTATTACATAATGTAAACAACATATATATAAATGAAATGCCCATTGTAAGTAATGGAATAAAGTGTTTTGAATTTGAATTTGAATTTGAATTCTCTCTCTCTCTCTCTCTCTCTCTCTCTCTCTCTCTCTCTCTCTCTCTCTCTCTCTCTCTCTCTCTCTCTCTCTCTCTCGCTCTCTCTCTCTCTCTCTCTCTCTCTTGCTCTCTCTCTCTCTCTCTCTCTTTCTCTCTCTCTTCCTTTTATATTTGTCTGTATTTTCACCTTTTTCCTTTTCTCTCTCTTTTCTTGATCTCTCTCTTCCCTCTCATTCTCCTTTTTTTCCCTTTTTTCTCTCTCTTATTCTGTTTATCTTTTCCACTCCTCCTCTCGCGATTTCTCTCTTATTTCCTTTCCATTCGTCTTTTTCCCTTTCCCTCTTTTTATTTTATTTTATTCATCCCTTTTCCCCCCTCATTCTCTCCCTCTTACCCCCTCCACCCCCCCCTCTCCCTCTCTACCACGAACAAGGGGAGAAGCGAGGGACAGATTAGTGAATTCCGCCTCCTCTCGCTTTCATCTCAAAGGTACATCCTAATAGATAGACTTCGGTGTTCTTAATTAATTCCATCCATAGAGCCGCGTTTCCTTCTCGGGGGAAAAAAATGTTTTCCACATTCTTTGAATTCAAAAGCGACGAACTAAATGCCTAAGTTAATTTTATGGGAGAATGAGCTCGACTTTTTTTTATTGTTTGTATCCTTTCCTCGTGATGTGAGCTTTATTAAAACTTTTTTTTTTTGTATGTGATATTTAATGTGCAATGTCGTACCCATAGTATCTAATTCATATTCATCCATCTGTTTGTAGATCTATCTGCCTATCTATCTATCTTTCTATCTGCCTATCTACCTATCTATCTGCCTATCTATCTATCTATCTGTCTATCTATCTGTCTATCTATCTATCTATCTGCCTATCTATCTATCTATCTGCCTATCTATCTATCTATCTGCCTATCTATCTATCTATCTATTTATCTATATATCTGTTTGTCTATCTATCTATCTATCTATCTATCTATCGACTTGCATCTATCAATTTATCCATCTTCACACACATAAACATTTATGGTAAATGACGATGAGCTACTTACTGTGCAAATAAATCAACCATTGGTAGCCATTACGTAATAGGCAGAGTAAGAAAGAAAAAAATATCAACAGTAGCTCCGATTCAAATTTATTGAAGAAACGATCGAAATTAATGCAAATAATGTTTCAAAATGTATATAATGCAAGTGCAAATGTGGCATCGATCCCTAACCCTCCAGTTTCACGTTCCCACCCTACCGCAGAAAACCGTATTAAAAAAGAAAAAAAGTTTTACACTACGGACTGATCACTAGTCGCGTTAACAGTATAAGCTTTCGATAAAAGGAGGAAAGTTCGAGAGAGTTAAGAGCTCGTAGAACCACCAAACAAGCGAAAAGAAATCGCTGTTGGAGCTTTTAACTCTAGCCTTTTCCTTAAAGCCTTCTGAGTTTTGAATCCTGATATTGAGGTTTACTATCTTGCCCTTCACGTTTCCAAGTAATGCCGAGAACCTGGGAATGACCGTAGTTTCTTTGTAAAAAAAAATTGATTGGGTGCTTTAAGACCAAATTGCAGATTGATTCGTTATCAATAAAACCGGCAAACAAGAAGCAAAAGAAGAAAAAAAAGAAAACAGAATTAGATATACCACCGAGAGGAAAACCACCGATTTCCAAAGCGACATTATCAATACACTCGCCAAGTAGTTTTCTTCAT